TTATTTATTTTACACTTTTAAATTAATGAAGCTCTCCGAAAATACCAAATCAAATGATTTATGAAAGTTTTTTTTTTTTTTTTACAATTTTAAATCTATATAACCAGCTTAAAAAACTCATCGCATAGATATAGACGAGTTTAAGAAAATTTCACAACCCAACTTATAAAATTCCATCTCCACGAGTAAAAAAATCACATCCCTCATCTATCGTAACAACTTTAAAGGTAAATAAATAAAAGTCTAATTACTACTATAAATTCATTATCTATATAGATTTTTTAAAAATCTAAATTTCACCAGTCTAACTACTAATATTTTAGATACTTTTAAGTATTATTTCTATCAATTTTTTTTTACACATTTGCTCTATATATATATATACATATGTGGAGGTTAAATGAAGAATTTTTAGACATATTTTCCTTACGGGTAGTTTAAAAAAAATTTAGGTAGCTTCAAACATTATTTGTGAATAATATAGAATTTTTTAGATGCTTTTATAGATGTTATAAAATATATTAAGTATTTTTAATATTTATATATCACACTTAAAAAGAATAATTTTCCAAAATAAAAACATTAAATACACATTGTAAATGTTAATAAAAACATTTTTCAGTGTTCATCTTTGATTTTGTCAAAACAAATCTTATAAAATTGGTGAAGTCAAAATTTGTACGTAAAGTCTAACTATACTAAAAAAAAAAGGGTAGATTCAAAATTCTTTATCTAATTTTTTCTTTTCCTTATCTAACTCCTTCTTATTATCTAATTGTATAGAAATCTGTTCTGATTTTGTTCAATCTTCTAATTGTATTTGTATTATATCCCATCAAATTGATTTAACAAAAAAAATCTCATAACATCCGATAAGTAAAAAAAAGTACGTAAAATCTTTACTAAATAAAAAAGACTTTATTTATAATCTAATTTATTATCTAATTGTATAGGAATTTATTCTGATTTTATAATACGTACTACAAATTGTGCACCCGTGTTCAGGAGCTACTTAACGGGCAAGCTCTGTGAAAATAACTCATTTAGTGCTTCTGTCCCGTGCATACAGTATGTATTTGTATTACACATACTTGAAAATTGTGTATCTCGTGCATCGCACGGACTCTGTACTAATAAATGACCTTAAAATTGTGCACCCCGTGCATCACCCGTGTTCACATTTTGGCCTATTACAGGTCACGTACTATATATATCCCGTATATTTTACTTTATTCATTTATATAATTATAAGAGTTGATAAATGACCTTAATTTTGTGCACCCCGTGCATCGCACGAGATCTGTACTAGTAAGTTTATAATTGATCTTATTTCTTTCTATTTTTTCCCCTTAAAAGCTACACATGTCATCTCGATGTGTAAACAAGCCGACCAAACTGGGGATTCTATACTCAAACTCGATCTCGACTCTTTAATAATATTAACAAGTCTATAAATTAGTTTGAGTTCAATTTATTTATCAGTATTAACGACTTGAATTCAAAAACTTTAACAAGTTTAGCTAAAATAAAAATTAAAAATTTACGTGAAAAGACCTATTTTTAAGTTACAGTGAGTTGAGTTCGGCTTGCTAGCTAAACGAGCTTGAAAATTTGGGTCGAACTCACAAACAACTCGTTTCGTTTAACAACTCTAATATAATGTGCCTGTAATTTCTCTTTGTATCTGCACATTTGAATGGAAGAAAGAAATGCTCGCCCAAATATTTTTAGGTCACGCTTGTTTATAAAAGTACCAATAAAAAAACTAATCTCAACTCAAATCTAACTCAAGTCCGCTATTTTCAATATTATTTCCATAATTGATCAATATCAGTCAATCATCCCTATACGTCACATCAACATTAATTTACTATTCATAAATGCACATGATTTGAACTACATATCACTTTCAATCACATATCTCCTACTATTACATCAAATCAGCTTTAATCATTTCATTTTAAATATTAGTTTGATATAAAATTAAAATCCACTAAAACTCAACTCAACCCCCTTTTTTT